AACCAACCAACCAACCAACCAACAACGACGACTACGACGACAACAACAGTAACAACACAAAGCCGTTAGAAGCCTCGGCGTACTCCACGGGGTCCGAGGGAGCGTCGACAGGTGAGTCGCTCATGGTAGGATTGCAGTTCGGCATGGCCACCGAGATCACGGCCTTCGGGTACTCAGTATCTTATAGTATATTCTTGTAGTACGTTACACATAGCTGCATAGCTACTTCTTCTATTCTTACTGTGTTTATGAGGCGCCGTTAAGGGTTATATGAGGGCTTTGAAGGGCTTCTATGCAGTTTTCGGTTCTTTTCTATGGGACCCCTCTAACTTTAAGGTTTCTATGGCCTCGGTCACAAGGTTCCGTGAGCCTTGGGGTAGCCACCGTTATCACGGGCCTGCTTGGTTCGGAAAAATATAGGGGCCTTATGGGAATTGGACTACAGTGACTAGAGTGGTGAGGGGTGGTGGATGAGTTCCGTCTCATGAGAACTAGAACGGACGTATTGCGAGTACTTATTCCGACCCCTGCATAATAAGGTGCGTGAGGGTTTAGGGTGTTTGGGAATTTGGCTTGAAGGTTCTTGGAACATTGTCTAAGCATGTATAGGTCTTCGCGACACATGCCTTGCAAATGGGTTGTTGTAAGCGCTTGATGGGAAGAGCGCTGAGAGATCAAAAACTTTGGGCTGCAGAGTCTATGATTGAGCACTCAACTGTCTAGACACGCGAAAAGCCCTGCATCAACAGTGTAGAACACACTCGATCATGAACAAGCCTACAAAACCCTATAGACTGCAACGCATGTCTGCTTTGGGGTTTGTTCAAGCAAAGCGAGAAAGAGAGAGAGAGAGAGAGAGAGAGAGAGAGAGCGCGACAGAAAGGGAGGGAGAGATGAGGCAGCTCCGGGTGCTTCTGATGAAGCGAACCTTTGAGGTTTGAGCTTCAGGGCCTTGCAAAAGGTTTGTGGACTTAAAATCACGACAGCATTTCGAAACACCTCCTTGCATTCAACCTATATATATATATATATAGGATAAGGGAAGTGCCAAATGATTCCTAAGGAATGCCCAGATAAGTTTGGATCTCGGGGAAATAACCAGCGAAAACAACGGAAGTTGTCAGGCCCACACACGAGATGCTCAGATGGACGGTTGTGAAAACATGTAGCCTAGGAGCATCTAGGCCTATACTATATTACTTGAACACACTCCTACAAACATCCTTAGAAGCCTTTGAAGGAGCCCTCTCAGACCCCATTCCTACGGCCCCCCATACTACCTTGAAGAAACGAGAGAATGGAGTCTCAAGTGCTGCATGGCAGATTGGGGGGGCTCAAGGGTCGCAGACTTTGCGCCTCGAGGGTTGGGGGCCCTTATAGGGCTGGGAGAGTGAGTGGGCTTTAGGCTGTATAGGGCTTTCAAGGAATATGATGGTGATGGGGCGGGGGGAGGTCGATGGTTCAGCTCAGCATTCGATGGTAAGGATGAGGACGGGGAGGATGGCGATGCATACGCTTGGGAGGCGTTGCTCGTTGCACATGTGCACTGGCTGACCCGGCATGGTCACCAAAAAGATGCCGATTAGGAAAGGAACCAACTGTGACGTGGACGATCAAGCACATGACCTTGCTGACCTAATTCATCGCCAATCAGCCGGGATTAGCAACCCCTGAGGCGGATGTACAATCCTAATTACATCCCACCGAACTCCGACAAAAACGAAACCCGGGCTGGAGTGAAGAGCCGGCCTGAAGCTGGAAGGGTGTCGCAAGGAAGGGGTATCCTTCGTTGGTGCCGTTCCGGAAAACCTGAACGAGACTTGCGCTGTGAGGTGCAAGTCTAGACTCCCAAACCCAAAACCCCAAACCCGAAACCCAAAACCCAAAACCCAAAATCCTAAAACCAAAACCCCAAACCCGAAATCCTAAATCCCAAACCCCAAACTCTGAGCCATGTCTTTGATGTTTTGATGGAGCCTTGGGGGTTCAGGCTCGGGGAGTTGGCATAGTGTAGAAGCCTTAGTAATTAGCATAGGGTTTTAGGGTATAGTATGTTATACGATAATTAGCATAGGGTTTTGAGGTATGGTATGTTATACGATAACTATAACATGGGCTCCGTCCCCCCAAGAATAGTATAGGTAATTATTCAGGTTTCTATATTTGGTTTCCATGAGCAAACAACAGCCCTAAGTCCTGAACTCGAAGCAGCTCTGCGCGTCAGGGACTTGCCTGAAACCCTGTGGAACACAAGACTCTTGGGGAGTTTCTTGGAAAACCCTAAACACTAAACCCTAAAGGGTTTTGAGTTTTGAGTCCCTGCTCTGAACTAGGACTGCAATAATTCCTTTGCTAGCTTTGGCTGGGCTTCGGGGCTTTGAGGTTGTAAGGTGTATGGCTCTTCAAGGCCTTATAGAGTCTTTGTAAGCTGCAGCGCCTGAGGATTTAGGCGGCTTTGGCGTGGGTAGGGCTTGATGTTTCAGTAGAGTCGTAGGGTCTGCAGGGCTCTTGGATTTGAGTTGCTATTGAGTTCCGATTGCTATGGACGAGGATAACACGCACACCTGAGAAGTCAGATAGCCGAGCTTACCCTAGGGCTCCAGTTACCTAAATCATAGGTTCGTAACCATATACGTAATATGTAGCCGCAGCCGAATAACCATTAACAGTTGAACCCTTAAACCCTAAACCCTGTTAACCATGAACTCTGCAACGGACGTTGGCTCAAGTGACATGGACAACAGCCCCAGGAGCTTGTGGGATTTGAGGGTTGTTGGGGGTGGGTTAGGCTTTAGGGTTTAGGGTTTAGGGTTTCCACTCGGTGCCCTAAGTCTTCCCGTCTCCTGGGCTTCGAGGGTAAGGGCTTTCGATCAGGGATTCATGTCTAGAGGCGTATACAGTGAGGGTCAAAGGCCCACTGAAGATGAGTAGTGATTAAGATGATGCTCCATTTAGTATCTTGTCGCCCACTGCATCCCACTTAAGTTGTGGCCTGATACTCCAGACCAAGTGCAGGTGTCCTTTGATGGGCTTAGGGAGATTAGGGCTTTAGGGCTCAGGGGTTGAGGGTTCGAGACTCTCCAGGATTTTTCGGTCGACGCTACAGCCCTACACAACCTCAGGAAGTCTTGCAAAGATTCGGTTAAACAAGAAGTCGGAATCTTGAGTTGAGAGAACAATGAGTCAACAGCAGACGGCACTGCGTTTGAGCGTCGAAGGAGTCACTTCAAACCGAGGCTGTGAACCATAGCTAGGTGAGCCGTAAGAGCCAAGCGGGAATCCCAACTTCGAAAAATGGCTGACTCGTAAGCAACACACACCCACGCACAAAGCCAAATCTCTAGCACACGCGAAATCCCAGCACCCAGGGTTATTATCGCTACAATCAAGCAGCCTCCACAGAGGGCGAGAGAAGGACACCATCTGCCGGCAAATGAGGAGTCCTTTGCAGACTCATGTCATGTTCCCCTAAAAACCCAGTTGCCTATCTAGCAGGGCACCACACCACAGGGTGTAGGGTCTAGTAGTGCAATCCGTTCTGTAGACGACCTTCTAAGTTGCTGTTCTCTGAAGAATACAGTATGGCATGCTTGGGCCCTCTGTGTTCACGAGGGCTTCGACTCCCGTCAACCAACACGCAACCTAGCAACAAACGAGCTACGTCTGAGAGGAAACGCCGAGCAGACGCCAGCAGTAGTTTAGGGAAGGAACCTGCTTTCTGGGCGCCGTGAGTTCAGATATGAACCCTGGGTATCCCTGGGTTCGGCGTTGGCATGTTGCAAGCGTAAAAACCCTAAACCCTAAACCTCAAAGCCCTAAATCCTAAATCCTAAAATTCTAAGCCCTAAACCCTAAACCTCCAAGCCCTAAACCCTAAAATTCATGGCGCTTGGGTCTTGGATGCTTTGGAGACACGACTTGGGCTCGGGGTGGGGCGGCCTTCGGACTTGGGTTCGTGTCTTCGACTTTGCGGTTGGAGAGGCCAGGGTGGGGAACGCTGACCCTTAAAGTAAACCCTAAACCCTAAACCCTTAGTGGGTTTAGGGTTTAGGGTTTGGGGTTAGGGTTTAGGGGTTTGGGGTTTGGTAAAGTAAACCCTGAAGGGCAACCTGGTGCACCCTGATTGCCCGAACCCCTGCACCCCCTGAGTTTAGGGTTGAGGGTTTGAGCCATAGGCAACATGAACTTTGAGGTTAAAAAAACATGACCCACAAGGGTTGAAATCAGATCCTGTAGCTTTAGCCAACCCCTGATCCTAGCGCTAATCCCCCATGCCCGAGCCCAAAACCTCAAAACCGCAAAACGAACACTAAAACCCCGACATGCAAAACTCCAACCTCACCATACCCTCATCTCCTAAACTCTTCCGGGGGTCCATGGACTGCCATCACGTCGGCATGGAACGAAACTTGGACTCACAACCCCGGCCTGCACATCTCCCAGGGCAAACGCTGCTCAGGGTTCACGGGAATTGAGGGTTTAGGGCAAACTGTGTCCTCAATCACCTACACCTACAGCCTGAGGGGCAATCCTAATTATGACTATGTAAGAAAGCACATACCATGGCTGACCAGCATTGGGTCTACATGCAACAACCACCAAACGTCACACGCGGGTACACCCGGCATCTACAATGCTGTGAGGTGTGGCCGTGTTGTTCTTGTTCTGGTCCCGACTGCGAAAACTATGCGACAAAGCACTGCTGCCTGATACCCCACCTAGATAATTATAAAACAATCAGAAGCATTGGTTGATGAGCGGTCAGTACTGCTCATGGCCATCATTGTTCTTTGTACTTACTTTTCTGGCAGTAGTACGGCAAAAATGGCAAGTCTGGCAATCCCTATTCTGTAACAAAATATACTGGTGTTGCGACTACTTTGCTTGCTCTATCACATCACTGCTCTGGCGACCAGCTGGCGCGCGACAATGACTATTCACTAATGCTACGATGCCAACCCACTACATCGCAAACTGAAACACTTATGGTGTTGGTTTGCTGGTGGGAAATACGTGCCTCTGGCTCTCACGAGTACCATCAATTGTGCGTTGCTGCCGTTGGGTGCGCCTCACTGCAAGAGGAGGGAGTGGACGGAGTCTTACAAAACCCTAAACCCTAAACCCTAAATCCTAAACCCTAAACCCCACACCCTTCAGCCTTCCCTTCTGAATGAAGAAGACCTAAGCCCACAGAGTCCCCAGGGCACAAGCCTCTGCGGCTCAAGAAACACACAAAAAACCACAGTTCAACTTTTTGAACCCAACAGAAGCCTTGCGAAAAGTCTCCTGCGACATGAAACCATTATGCTCCTGTAGTGCTGTTTTAGGGATAGGTAGTACCATCGGAATCTAGATAAAGGATCATCTCCCCTATGAAACCGTTAGTAAAGCACTCAGAGCCATAGCAGATTTAGAAAACAATGGGTTTCTATCATAGACCGTACGAAGTAGGATCCAGACACAGCAGGGTTCTTTGACAAGATCATCAAGGATACTCCCCCACCTTCTTGGCCAGGGCTTCTCCAAGCTGAAGGGACGGAAAGAGCGTGCTCTGAATGCACATCGACTCCTCGCTGAGTTTCAGGGTTCAAGGCTTGAGGGATTAGGGCCTGTTACTTACTTAGTGCTTGAAGGGATAGCTGTATTGCCGAGGGTGTGTCTGAGTGTCTGGTGCATGTGTTTCCTCCAGGAATGAGGTGGAAGTTTGGGAGCTGGCCTTGAGGTGTTGGCGAATGCAGGTGGTGCACACATGCACGCATGTATGTATCTGTGCAGAAACATGTATCATAAACACACGCACGCACACACACACACACACCTATATATATGTATATATATATATGCACACACATACATACATACATACATACATACGTACATACATTCATACATACATACATACATATAAAGACATGTATGCATGCATGCATGCATGCATCCATCCATACATCTGTCGATACA